ATGAACATTACCTCTGAAGCTACAACGGTTTTATTAGAGACACACTAAGCGTTTTACATTTTGCATAATTTTAAAAAGTTTAAATTTGTTCAGAAGCCTGTTGAACGGCAGAAATTAGGTTTTCTTTTCGGAAGTAAGTAAAAGGAAAAAAAAAAATCAGCCGACAGCCTGTAAGAAAGGTAGACTAGCGTAACAAGCAAGCGAATAATGCAGAAAACAGATTTTTAGACGGGAAACTGTTCTTGAAGAGAGAGAGAGAGAGAGAGCTGTGCATGAAGTGTGATTTTATTGTGGTGGAAGCAAAACAGCAAAAGTCTATTTTCTAAATATTGTTTGGAGAGAGATCAAACTAACAGCTTTAGAATCAGCGCAAAAAGGGCCTAAACACAAAGTACAAATATCCTTAAGGGCTTCGTGGCATGTGATCTTCAGTGGAAGGGAACAAAAAAAGCAAGACTGTTGCCAATACATATCCAAAGAAAATAGTTGGTAGAGTGAAAAGAAAGAAAACACAAATAGATCAAAAACAGTGTTAAAGTTGAGGGTAAATGATGATCACACAAAGAAATGAATCGAAAGCCACCAGAACATAAAGATCTGGTAAAGGACCTCTAACGCAGAGCACATAAATTATACGTAGTCATACTTGTGAACTGTCAGTACATATTGTCTGATTGCTTAAAATATTTAAAGCAATGAAGTGTCACATGTGTATTGAAATGTGCATTTGTAATAATACTGTTGTTAATAACAATAATTCTTCTCTGTAGTACTTTTCATGATGTCTTTCCATTATAACTCTAACATGATGTAACTGCACATATACTAAATAATCTCTGGATATATAGCTGCTATGTTGTTTACCCCCAAAGTGAGCACTGTCCTCAAAAATCCATTATTGTTTTGGTTTGATTTACTTTGTTTCCCAATTCTGTGTAAGGACCAAGGTAGGCTCAATGTGACTCAATGTGGCTCAATGTGGCATGGTACTTTCTCTACACTCAACTCTTGGAAATGAGACTGATTATCTATGTGAGACAGTACAAGCAAATGGTCAGGTTTGGGACTTGATGATTAATAATTGTGTGCGTGTGTGTGCGTGTGTGTGTGTGTGTGCGTGTGTGTGTGTGTGTGTGTTAGGCTCTTTTTGCAGAAGTCCCAGCTGGAGTATTCTGAGGAGGAAAGTGACATCCTTGGCCAGGGTGGCAGTGGGACCATCATCTATCGAGCCCGATATAGTAACCAGCCAGTAGCTATCAAACGCTTCCACTTCAAGAAGTGTCAACAGCAGGCGATCAGCGAGACAGGTAGAGGAGCATTTCAGAGTTTTTTTGAGTATATAGATTTTAACAAAATAAAAACATCTCTCTGAATATTTGGAAAGCAGATGATGGAAAATATTGCTGGACACCCCATGACATGATCCTGTCACATGTCACACACACACCTGTCACTTCACTCACGATAAAATGTTTTTGCCATTTTTAACGCATTGTTTTGCTTCAAAATGGGATTTTCATGCAAACCAACACTATCACTAAAACCTGATATTAGTGTTGGCATGAGACAGTTTTCTCTCAGGCTGATGTCAGTCTGCAGCTGAATGGGCTGGTAAGTTGGTAATTTTCTTCTGATAATACCGTAATTATCTGTGATCATTTCAGAGACAGAAGTTCACATTTAACTATTAAATTTGCAATCAGCAGCATACTTGCTTTATGGGAATGTAATCAAAATACAAACAGCTGACACCCAGTTAGTTGAGTAGGGATGGGTATCGTTTAGGTTTTATCCGATACCAGTACCAAACCGGTACTTTTGAAACGGTGCCGATGCTTAAACGGTGCTC